TCTGAGGTACTTAGGTGTACCCTACAATTACCCAAAACCTCCATTAATGTGGCTAAATGAAAGGAACAGGGGAGCCAGACCTCTCACCTATCACAGATTAAGCTCATTTCAGTGATGCCAGATTCATATGTTGATTTCTAAAAGGTTGAAGTCTTTTGTGGCTCCTTCTTTCTTACCAGAAAATAAAGGACAATTTATTGTCACCGGTTTTTCATGAACCTCTCCTTATTTATAGGAAAGGGCTGCCATAGGAAAATACTACTGACGGGTTGGCTTGGGCAACAAAAAATCTACATTCTCACAATTCTAGAGACTAGACTAAACAACCTGTGAGCTCAAGTTGTTGGCAAGGCTGGTTTCTCCTGAGGCCTTTGTGCTTGGCTTGCTGACGGCCATCTTGCTCCTGTGTCCTCACATGGGTTTCCCTCCGTGTGCATCTGTGTCCTAACCTTCTCTTCTTATACAAGCACCATTCATACTGGATTCAGGCAAAGAAAAGCAAACTCTGTCTTTCTACCTTGGTCTAAAAACCATTAGTTTTAGAAAGAAAGGATTTAAGATACCAAAATATAAATATTGTTCATTGAGAACTGCTCTAATATCGTTTCAAATAATATAATCATGGCCGTGATATGAAGGGGAAGAATAACGACATACTTCAGTTAACCGAAGCTTCATTTAAGGTGTATATTTGAGTTTTGTTTATGATCTTTTAAAAGATGGTTTAAGTGAAAAATTATTTTAGTCCTTCAGCATGTCAGGTGCAGAGCTGCACTGTAACATTTACTCTGACCCAGTAGCCTACTGGTGGTATGTCATAAGATTAAGGAGATGGGGCTTATTGTGATGAGGATTTTGCAGTTGAGATAGGGGAGGTACAGGCAGACTGAAAAACTGCTGTAACTCACATTGCTAAGTAGGTTTAGAGCCAGAACCCTTGTCAGGTTATAAAACACACACTAAATCACCATTCTGCTTCATCCTGGCCTACAGTGTTTAGTCCTTACATTTAAGGACTAAATACAAAATTAATGCAAAATTTAATACAAAAATTAAATTCTATGATAGCATTCCCAAAAGATTTTATTAGTAATTAAACTGATTTATTTTCCTTGTCCAAAGAAAAAGCCTCATCTGATCACAAATAATTAAACAGCAGAACTTCCTGAAGGTAAGAGAACTAATAAATGTTCATAATCTGTCATAAGGAAGTCTGGGTGATCACATTCTATTCTCTGAGGTCTCTGTTCTGGTAACTTCTTTGCTATGGAGTGTGTTTTAGGACCATCCATACGATGGCATCTGTTTACTTCTTCCTCAAGGAATCCTCAAGATTCCCATAATTTAGTGTAAGCAAAATCACTTTTTTGCCTTTAAATTAGTAGTCATTAAATTTCATCATTCACACACTGACATGTGATCCAGAAAACAGATGGACTTATCAAATAAAATGGGGTTAAGTACCATCACAATTAAATAATTATTTTCCTTTGGTGGACATAGGCACTCGATCCAAGACATGATTTCATTTTCTTTGTGATATGGGGTAATGTGAAAAATGAAATCTATAACCCTAAATTGAAGGAAATCATAGTCTCCATGCAATCACTAAAGAAATTGTTCCAGAATAATATATCCTTCCAGAAATAATAATCCCATAATGTCAGCAAATTTGGAGTCAGCCTGGGTTACCTACTGCATGCAGCGGGTTCTGGTCATGTTCATTACATCTGCCTGAGGTTTAGCCAAACTTGAGTACATGACATTTAAGAATTTTTAAAAATTTATTAATTGATGTTCTTTGCCTGAATTTTGCTGGTTTTACTTCTTTAACCTATGATTTGTATCACTGTTTTGGGTTGGCCAATCCTCACACCCATCGAAAATGAGAATTGGAAGCATAACAATTCTAGCCAATAATTAACAGAAGGTTCTTTCAGCTCAGATACCATTGTCAAAGTTCAATAATGATATCTCAAAATGTCACTCAAAAAGCATGATAATGTGAGATAATCAGTTGTAAGAAAATAATCATCACAATTCTTAATTTGTATCTGACTTTTCATTAAAAAAATGATTTAACCCATTTCTATCTCAGTCTTCTGTACTGTACTAATCTAAAAATCCTGTATTTATTTATTCACATTGATGGATAAGTAACCAAATACAATTGAAGACAGAGTAAGATCTGTCACCAAACTTGCAAAGGATCTGTGTACTTTTCTCATAATAATATTTTCCTAATTTAATGTGTTCCTGTAGTACTCTTTTTATACTTATTGGTCTTACAAATTATAAGCAAGACAGATTCTCACACATACTTGAATAGTTTTAAATCATCATTTCCAAACTGTGGCATATTTGTTTTGTGAAAACTAAAGATGCTGTAGCAGCAACCTTTTGACTTAACTTTGAGTTTTCATTGAGTTAATTAGTTGAATAAACAATAATTTAATTATGCAAATTATATGATCATTTATTCTTTCATTTGTTATTCAAGGTCTTTTAATTGCCTTATATTTATTATAATCAAATAGAAAAGACATATATTTTAGATTCCTTTGTAAAATTAAAAACATTTCAAATAGAGAAATTTCAAAAAAAAAGAGATACAAAGGTTTTATTCATTCCTGGCTGTTTCCTTGTAATTGAAAGACATCAACTGTAAGTTATTTTAGGATTCCATTGCGGGCATACTTGTTATGTGTCATATGGTGCGCCCCAAAAGAAGATATGTGGAAATCCTAACCCCCAGTACCTCAGAATGTGATTTTTCTGGAGCCAGAATCTTTTAGGATTTAACCAAGTTGAGATGAGGTCATTGGGGTAGGACCTAAGCCAATATAACTGGTGTGCATATTAAAAAAAGAAAATTTGAACACAGAGACAAAAAAGCAGAGGGAAGATGAAGTGAAGACACACAGGGAGGCCATGTGAAGGATGGAGTGATGCATCTGCAAACCAAGGAATGTCTGGGGCTCCCAGAAGCTAGGAGAGAGGCAGGAGCAGGCCTTTCCCTCACAGCCCCAGAGGGAGCATGGCTCTGCCAGCACCTAGATGTCAGGCTTCTGGTCTCCAGTACCATGAAACAATACATTTCTGCTGTTTTAAGCCATTAAGTTTGTGGTATTTTCTGATAGCAGCCCTAGGAAACAAATACAACATCCTTAGTCAAAAATGGGTGCATTTATGACACTTAAAACCCACTCCTTAATAATAGGTTAGGTGACTAAATTTTTTTTCTTTATCAATTTTGTCTCCGAATTTTGAACATATCTTTCTATTGTCTTCAATCCTCTACTGTTTCTATTTGCAGTTTCACTAGAGTGTGTTCAGATATGGATTAATTTTACTTGATCTGCCTCAGAATTTCTGTTCCCTTAATCTGAGAGTTCATGTCTTTCAATGAGTCCAGGAAATTAATAAATAACTGTTAACCTCTTTATGTCTTTCCCTCATTCTCAGTAGTCTCTTTTCTGGAAATTGTATAAAATGTATGTTAGACCTTCTCTGCAACCTTTGCAAATCACTATGAATCACTTTTCACTTCACATTTTCATCTCTTAGAGATGTAGTCTAGGAAGTTTCCTCATATCTGGGTTCCAGTTCTTTAGTTCTCTGTTGAGAAAGTCAAATCTCCATGATAAATCTTTTCAATTTCAAACACTATATATTTTCATTATACAAATTCTATTGTAGATTATTTGGAGAAATATTTTAAATGAAACATAAAGAAAGATAAACTTTGTATTTCTCCAAAAAAGATTTTTTTCTCTGATCTCCGTCTAGTGGACATATCTTTTTGTCTATCTATCCCTTTTAGACACATTTTGAGTATCCAGTATTTATGGAAAAGGCTCTTTCAACACCCTATACCTAAAGGGTCCAAAGCCTCATCTCCTGAATGGTCATTAAAATCCAATGTTTGAGGCGAAGGAGGACCTGAATACCCTGATTTGATCATTACACATTGTGCGCATATATCAAAATATCATGTGCACCCTCAAAACATATACAAATATTATGTATCAATTAAAAACACTACATAAAAATAAAAAGATAAGAAATGCAAACCAAAAATGAATTCAAACCTTTAGATCAACAAGAGTGATTATCTGTTTTCCTTCTCCCAGGCAGCAACAGCCCCCATCTACTCATTTTCCTCTCTAGTTTTCAATTCCCTCTTCATTCCTGGTACCCAAAGAGATCCCATTCATTCTTGAGTGTTTATGAATTTAAAACGCTTTTGGTTATATCTTATCGAGAATTGCCAGGTGCTTAAAGAACAGAATCGGAAAATACAATATGCCTTTTGGCTCCTGATCCCGAAAGGATGAGGAACTAAGATAACCTGAACACTGACTTCATCATCCTGCCAGAACTGAAAGTCAAAAGGCCTACTTTGGGGCATTTTTCTTCCCGAGATCTACGCTTATTCGTTGCTAATGAATAGCATCAACAAAGGAGGCAATGTTTCCTGTTTGAAATCGTTCCGGGATAAATGTCAGAAGACAAGTAGGCTCCAAATGTCTCTGCCAAAGAATTATTCGAAATCTTTTTAGCAAGATGCTCAAAGTAAATGTGTCTATGCTTACAGTCCATATTTAACTTGATTTAATATGATTCCTAGAGTAACTCAAGGGAGTTGCTATTACCTCATTTTACATTAGGGGACAGCAGTAGAGACAATTTAACTCATCACATTTGACCAGCTCCACCTTATAATACAGGAAGACCAACATTACCATGTAGAGTTATTTGGGACAAGATCCAAGTGATAGTATCTGGACGTGGGGCTTTGGTGTCTGGAGTGATACACCTTTGGGCTTGCTCATATATCCACTGCTTTCCTGAGGAGCCATCTCAAATATTTATAAGCAACCCTTTCACTTATCTTTTATGCGTTTGCCTCCTAGCCTAGCCTCATGCCAAAGGAAAGCCATCCTGGATGCTATAACACTGTAACCTCATTCCAACATCCATTAAAAATATAACCTTACAGGTGTCTACTGTGACTTTCCTCCTCGGACTCGGTGCTTCTCTAGAATGAAGCTCTGCCCATTTATTTGGATGGTGTTTCTTGGCTCTTTCTTTTTGCACAGGAATAGGTAACTACCGAAGTAGCATTCAGAAGATGCTGTGCACTCTCAAACGACCTTATGGAAGCCAATTTCTCCAACTCATGGACTGAGAAAAAAAGATAAACCTGTCTTAGACTTGTATTTAAAATGTAATGAAATAAATATCTTAAATGTCCCTAGATCATTTATATACACAATGCACATGCATGTGTTCGGTGAATGTACTCCTGTTATTACAAAATTCCATTGCTTTAAAATCTACTGTTCTGTCAGTCTCCCACAAACTACCAGCAGAGTGACTGGCAGGCAGAATTGTGTGGTTAGTGAAAAAACTTGATGTGATTGCGTAGAGCCCATTGGAATGAATAGGACTTTGAGCAACAGCGTTTTTATTCTGAAAGCAAAAAGCCTCAGATGACTTCTCTTTCCTGTCAAGTTCTGGATGTTTTGGTGCTTTTCTTGTTTTTGTTTTCACCCTGAATTTTGTACTTTTCATATGTACACTGAATGTGAAATAGCCTAGTGTATTTCTTTGGGGATCTAGGATTTTGCTAGGTGATGCCAAGGGAGGGATGTAACTCAGTGACATTTTGTCAGGCTGTTAAAGAGTAAATTTTCCTTGACTGTGGCAGGAGGTAATTATTTTTTGTTTGTTTGTTTGCTTCTGACACAGGGGAAAAAAATTGGGGGTTGCTATTTCAACTAGTCCAAGATACTTTCTGTTCTGTTTGGCAGGAAGGGAAAACACATTTTATTACTGGAGTGATTGCCAGCTTTTGCTTTTCCCTACAGACTTGATGCAGTTTTTAATACTATGAACATTTTTTTCAACTTTTATCTTAAGTTCCACAGTACATGTGCAGGATGTGCAGGTTTGTTACATAGGTAAACATGTGCCATGGTGGTTTGCTGCACAGATCAACCCATCACCCAGGTATTAATCCCAGCATAAATTAGCTATTTTTCCTGGTGCTCTCCCGCCCCACACCCCTCAACAGGCCCCAGTGTGTATCATTCCCCACAATGTGTCCGTGAGTTCTCATTGTTCAGCTCCCACTTATAAGTGAGAACATATGGTGTTTGGTTTTCTGTTCCTGCATTAGTTTGCTGAGGATAATGGCTTTCAGCTAGATCCATGTCCCTGTAAAGGACATGATCTTGTTTCTTTTTATGGCTGCATAGTATTCCATGGTGTATATGTACCACATTTTCTTTATCCAATCTATCATTGATGGGCATTTGGGTTGATTCCATGTATTTGCTATTGTGAAAAGTGCTGCAATGAACATACATGTGTATGTATCTTCATAATAGAATGATTTATATTCTTTTGGGTATATACCCAGTAATGGAATTCCTTGGTCAAATGGTAGTTCGGCTTCTAGGTTTTTCAACATTTTGCAACATTAGTCTCTTAGTGGTTCTACCCTCTCTCCCTGAAGATGTCTGTGATGTACTTCTCAATCCTCTGATCCCTCCTGGCATTTTATCTGTAGTGTACCCTGTCACAATCATTCAACAGCTCACATGGAATATCTTCTACCTACCAAACATATTAATAGATGTGGCTTACACTCTAGTGGGTCTACAGAATGAACATCTAAACAAATGATAACAATAATAAAAACACTCTATGTTGCCTTTTGATGTAAATAGTTATTTATGCAGATGGCTCTAAAAAGCAAGCTCTTTGAATGATATTTTTGTAGCCCAACTCCATGCTTTAAAATTTTTGGTGCTTAATTAAAAAGCACCAAAAAATGTAACTGCCTATTAGGCTGATTGGACTGTTTCTAGAAAATTAATAACTAAATTCTTAGCTACCACCACATTCCTGAAATTTCTTTGAGACCATTGGTGAGGATCAAGTCCTCAGTTCAGGGGTTGACCAATGCCTGATGCCTTCATGGTACCTGTCCTCGGATTCTAGTTCTGACAGTAAGTGGGTTCCCCAGGGGAAGTCATCTTCACAACCAAATGAGACTAACCACCCCTCACCTATATTCTGTCATTCTTAAAAAGGCCTTTAGGATCACTTATTGGAGAAGAGAAATTATTAGCCTATATTGTTCTCAACAAAAGTTTAATTTGAAAATCTGATACTAGTCAGGTTGCAGGGAAAGTGAATGCTTACACACTGTTGGTCAGAGAGTGTGAATTTGTTCAGCCACTGTGGAAAGCAGTATGTCAATTTCTCAAATGATTGAAATTAGAATTACCATTCAACCCAGCAATCCCATTCCTGGGTATACCCAAGGAATATAAATCATTCTACTATAAAGACACAGGCACATGTATATTTATTGCAGCACCATTCACAATAGCAAAAGCATGGAATCACTTAAATACCCATCAATAGCAGAATGAATGAAGGAAATATAATACATATACCACAAAATACTATGCAGCCATAAAAAAAGAATGAGACCATGTTCTTTGCAGCAAAATAGATGGAGATGGAGGCCATTATCCTATGTAAACTAACAGCAGGAACAGAAAACCAAATACCACATGTTCTTGTTTATAAGTGAAAGTTAATAAACAAGAACACTTGGTCACAAAGAGGAAACAGCAGACACTGGGGCTCTCTTGAGGGTGAAAGGTGGGAGGAGGGAGAAGGCAAGAAAAAAATACCTTAGCATGCTTAGTATATGGGTGATAAAATAATCTGTATACCGAACACCCATACACATGTTTACCTATATAACAAACCTGCCCACGTACCCCTAAACCTTAAATAAAAGAAAAAAGTTATTTGTAATATACACATTCATCATATTAATTTAAGAAAAAAAATCCAGCAGGTAAGAATTTTTAGGCTTCACTAACAAAGAGACACCATAATTATAACAATAATAATACAAGAAGCTTCTGAATTCTTACTCTGTTGGTACTATGCATTTCGGTAAGCCATCAACTCAGTCATTTTTTTTTTTATTTTTTATTGCATTTTAGGTTTGGGGGTACATGTGCAGAATATGCAAGACAGTTGCATAGGTATACACATGGCAGTGTGTTTTGCTTTCTTTCTCCCCTTCACCTACATTTGGCATTTCAACTCAGTCATTTTTAACATGCCTATGGTAGGCAGGCATTGTTATATCCATTTCACAGATAAGCCAACTGAGGCTTGCCTAGTTTCTGGGTGAATCTTATCAGAGGTCTTTTTTCTTTTCAGAAGAATTCTTTCCCAGAAAGAGTTTTAATCCCTGTTTCAAAGAGAGGGCTGGCAACCTTACCAGTTCTCCAAACTGTCTGAAGCCTGGAGTGGATATGGATTAGGGCTAAACTGTGATGAGATTCAAGATCTTCTACCCCAAAATATTAAGTGGGAAAGCTCCTCTAACCTTCCCCCAACCCCTCTTCCTTGAGGCAGGTCATAAAACCTAGAAAGTTCACTTTCCTCACCCTTCTCTCTGGAAGTAGGTCATGCGATCCTCATGTGAGCAGTACCCTTCCTACACCCAGAAGAAAGGAACCAAACACAGACAGCTCAAGAAAGATCTGAGCAAACAGCGCTTGCCAGGTTCCCCTAGTTTATTACCGTTAGATCAGACTTTTTCATCCTCAGATCATATTTCACCATGACTGTCCACTCTTCATCAAACCTAAGTATAAAAATACACACACTTATCTACTTCTTTGGATCTTTGTTTATAAAGGCTCCCATGTCACGTAAAACTTCTGTTACAAAAATATGTATTTTTTCTCTTGTTAGTCTGTCTTTTGTTACAGAGACCTGAGCCATGCATCCTGTGGTGGTTCTGCCAAGAGATCGTTTCCACCCTTAGAGCTGGAATATTCACTAAATGTCTACATAGCATCCGGCATTTTTGCTTGCTTGTTTTAACTGTTGTTTTTAACCCCTATCAACTTCTAAACAACAAAGTGGTCATCTGGGATTTCACACTTATTATTCAATGGAGTGGATTCTATAGACACTATGTATTTTTACCATTTCTTACAATTCACTAGGAAGCTGCTGCTCAGTTGAAAAAAAAAAAAAAAAGTAGTAGCCATTGTCTTCAAGGATCTTAGATATCTAAGAGGCCAAGGTGGTGGGAAATGAAGGTTGAAATCGTGTTTCTTTCTCACACATTGGAGGTAATTAATGGCCTCATAGGTTTGTTGTTTATAGATCTTTACAAAATTGTTCATTTTTACAGCTTCATTTTTCACTTAAACATTTGTATGTGGTCATTCAGCAGCCAGAATAAATAAAATACATTATCTGAAAAATATGTTCACATGAAGACTATATTACCACCCCTTAGTGAAATAACACAAAATAAAATTAATGAAAAGAATATCTTTTAACACAAGACCTAAGGGAAAATGAGGAAAGAAAGTACACCCCGATTTTTTTAAAAAATTATTTTCTTCTTAAATATCACTATATACCTATATTAATTCTCTCTTTTTTTTTTTAAGAAATTGATGTCAACAGTGTAAAAGGTAGCTCTACATTTGTGAACAGTCTGTGCCATGCCTGGCATTCAAGGCATCTGCATGAAATGAACGTTCTGGGACTAATCCAGGCCCTCTTCTTCATTTTCTCTCGGGCTGAAGTTGCCTGGGAGGCGCAATCTGCCCAGTCTGACATCCCAAAAAATCCCCTCCCTGCTTCTTCAGGTAACTTGATGCTCTCTGACCCACCCCTTAACAGTTCTCACCACCCCTGTTTTAATCCCTGCATCCAGGATCACTTTCTAATCTTATCCACCGCTTCCTTTCCCAGTACTGTCTCCTCTAGAATTCCTTTGAAGGGCAAATACATTCCCCTATATCCATCGTATATTTTCTGAACAGTCCCTCCAACGGTCTTCTTACCTACAATCTGGTTCTCACCTCAGATCAGTGACCCTCACTTCCTGCATACATACACATTCGTTACTTACAAAGTACACATGTCAGTGATCTCTCAGCCTACACAATCAGAAAAGGGGAAAAATTATACCAAGAAACCATAAAGTATATTCTTGATACATAAGGATGGCCTTTCCATTTTACACAGGATTTAGGGTGTCTATGTATGGCCTGTAACAGTGCTTGGCATATAATGGGCGATTACTGGGAATTTGCTGAATGAATGAATGAATGCATGAATAAATGAATGCAGGCATGCATAAAATCCTTTATCATTATTACACAAAGTATTTTATCTAAAGTGACATGGACAAAGATGGAAGGTGGAGATAGGAAGTTGGAGAAGCTGAGTAAAAAGAAGAGGTTAGATGTAGACAGACTGCTTACCATATAAAGGTTTTCATGGAAATACAGCCCCACATCATAAAAGTTTCCATTGTGCCTGATGGGGTGTGTTCTGGTCTTCAGTTGTTCCATTTGCCGCCACTGCAGGACACAGCCTCCCAATCGACCAAGCGGGGACACTTTGAGTACATAATAGCCTGGGGGAGCCTTGGCTTTAAGGCCCCTCAGGCATCTGATCTGGATTTGCAAAGGCTGAGGTGGTTGAGACTGCTCATTCTCCACAAAAGGCAGGGTTCTTGAATTACTCAGGAACTGGGTGAAACCACACAATTAGCAACAATGGGCTTCTCAGGGGGGAAAATAGTAGATAATTATTTTTATCCAACTGTAATTGTCAGGTATTAGCCATGATAACAGATGAGGACACAAGATATATAATTAGGGGGTCAAAAGGCAAACCTGCCGTTGATGGGAGGGAAAGTTTAGCCATTTTTTCAGCATGGTATGTTAATGATCTGTGACATCAGAAACCATTCATCTGCTATAGTAAGATAGAATTAACAGGAAACCAACACTTCTAAAAACCACTCAGCATGTCTTCTAAGATATCTGGGGTGGGTGAACACAGGCAGTAAGCTTCAGATTTGGAGTTTGAATGGTGACAGTCCTGACTTTAACACTAACCACTGACCTTAATGCCATGTTGATAAGCAGAGTGCAAAACAGGTCAGACTAACACCTCACCTGATCTGATACTTCTAGAGTTTCACCAGGATGTCAACTTGCCCTACTGGCTTCAAAGGAGAGTCAAAAATGGTGGGAGGTGGGTGGAGGGATAGTATCTGTACGTCCTCTTTCCTAAAATTCAGCAGGAATTGTGTGTGAATGAGGGACATGACTCAAGAATATTTAGAGGACATTTAATTTCATTTTTCACCTCAGGCTGAGAGAAGCAGGCCATTTTCATTTTTAATAAGTGCTGAAAAGTTTACATACACTGATAAGATTTTAGTGGACTATTTTTCAGAATAAACAAAAACTAAACTGAGATTATTATTAATAACAACTCAAATGTAGTGAAGTAATATTTTCTACACATACAAGTTCTTAATATGTTTCAGAATATTTGACCTCAGAGAATCCTATTACCTTGTACTTTAAGCCAAAATAATGTCCTTTTTGGAAGCAAGTTACTGCTCTCTTGGCTACCCAAGTTATAGTGCCACCAGTTAATCTGCAGCCAACAGTAAGCATTTTTTAATCCTGCCTAGACTTTATTTTGTAGGAGATAATATATATTTCCATAAAGATAGTATGCTTCTGGAATTAAATCACAGTTAAATAAACAGTGAAACTTGTTCAGCTTTCTTTGTTTTTTTTCACACAAATCATACTTAAAAACTAATCGGAATAACAATTATTTTTGGTTTAATTAGAAAATCTTAATTAACAATAAAGACTTAACCTTAATATTTTGGCTTCCAAAAATATTTTAAAAATTAACACCATGTGAATAAATAAGACAATCTTTTTAAACCTCAAGGCAGGATTACTGATGCAGGCAGAGTGAGTTATTAAACACATTCTAAATTAAACGCCTCTATGAATTTTATACTGAAATATATTGTGATAGTTTTGCATGCCAAATGTGACATTTTGTATTTCAGATTCATCTTCTGCAGTAATTTTGGAAATGTCATACAAACAAAGATTTTGTCATTTACCAATGGAATTACTATGCATGGCCGCTCAGCCATCTCTTTGCTGGTTCTTGTGGTTGTTTCAAGTCAGCAAGCCATAAAAAATCTTTATCTCTCTGAAACACAGCAATTTGGAAGATAATCGAATGGTGACTAGGGGGCAGAAATGCCAGTCTGAGGAATTATACCACAATCTCTCTTGCATTTACAACCTTCCTCAAAGCAAGTGTCAGCCAAGTAGGGAAAGGAGATAGAAGATTCATCAAATCTCAAGCCTTGTCTCATTTGCATGGTGGCAGGCCTGCCTCATTGTCTCGCAGGACGGAGCCTGGCCTTGCTGACAACCTGTGTTGAGGAATTTTAGTGGCTTTGCCGAGAGTTTTCAGCCATTCTATTTCAGCATAGAATTCTCATCAAAAAATATATATATATATATATACACGTGTATATATTTTTATATATACACATATATAAATATATATACACACACATATATATAAATATATTTATTTATTAAGACCTGCTGAAACTCTGTTTCTCTAAAGAGTCCTACAGGAGGAAAAGCACAGCAGGCTGCTGAGTCAATACAATTGATCTCATCATTTAACATTTTGCATCAGAGAAAAAGTCAGTGGCAAGAGCCTCACCTTCCAGCCGGGTCCTGCTGCTCCCTTTGAGTCATTAGTTACTTCTGTGAGGGTACCGAGCTGGGCTGCACTGTCCTTTTTACAAATATTTAGGTCTGCAATGAATGGTGGACTTGGAGTTCTGCTGCAGTTAAAAGAAAGAAGGAAGATAAAAGAAAGAAATTGACAATGGAGTACAACGAAAAGCTTTGCCTTTAGACTCACAACACAGTTTGATGTTTCCTTAAACATTTTGTCAGATTAACTAGAAATTAGGTAAACACCACATTGCAGGCGGTGAAGTTGATTCAAGTCAAGGAGGCGAGTGGCTTTTGAGATGTGGCTCTGTAAGAGGTGAGTGGGGATGTGGCTCTATAAAACGTAAGACTCACTGCATCGGCCATTGATCTCCCAAGATGTTGCTTGTTTAAGAAATCATCAGAAGATCGAATAATTGATAAGACTTTTTGCCACTTCATTTCCTATCCTCTACCCCTTCAGTACACTGTTAGGAAAACTGAGAAAAAAAATCCATTAAATAGATGATGAGCTGATATGACATAAAATTTTTCTTTTCTTAATGCAGTGGTTAGAGATCAAGATCTATTTCAACCCTAGAAATTCTCCCTAGGCTTTTCCTCCTATTAACATTTACTGTCTCTGAGGTTCTTCTTTATAGTTAACTCCTTTTTGCTGTTGTTGTTTGCAGCTTTTCCAATCCTGAGAGCAGCGTTCTTCTGCCTTCCCAAATTCATTTGAATTAAGAAGGATTCGCATCTCAGGTCTCCTGACTTAAGTTTAATTCCATCAGCAGGGCCAACTGTGACAATGACTGTACCCTTGGCACACGAATAGCCTTTTTGGGCCTGACTGCTGATTTAGTTGCCTGTGATACAAATGATTTTCCTTAATTTGGTTAGAGCTACACTGACACAAGGGTTCATTAGGACACCATTTGCTGGCAATTCAATTTCAAATTAAATACACTTTGTTGTAAATTTTATTACTGTTAAACTACTGTATCTATTGTCTTTAATGGCTCTATTATACAGTTATGAAGGTAAACAGATTTCATTAGTAGACATCAAACATTTTATATTAACCACAGTGAGGTGATTTCCTCAGTTTCTTTCTTTGTTTCCTTAGCAAGAATTGTAAGGCACTTGGAAATGTCCGAAACACTTCATCTAAATAATTAGACACTAAACTCATGATTATAATCCTAAAGATAAAAAAAAAAAGAAAACACAGTTTCTGGTTAGAATCTCAGTCCTTTGTAATTAAAGATTTTCAAAAAATACCTTCCTTAAAGTGAAAAAGCAGCACAATGCACACTGAAAGGTTAAATCACAGCTGTAACCTGAAACCAGGCACCCAGAGACAAGTCTAGGGATGTTTGACCTCTTGGAGCTACCATATTCTAGGTCAGGAACCTAGGCATCAGTTCACTTTTGCATTAGGTCCTAAGATATGTTCTTATTCTTGTTTGCTCTCTTCGAGAGCACATTTTAATTTTATAACTGTATATGTGTTTATGTGTTATTTTAAAATGTTTTAATTATATATAAAAACACCACCACCACCCACAAAAAAAAAAAAATCACCCATTAACCTAGATCCCAGAATAACCACTGGGAAAATACTGGCTCCTATTTTTTATAGCTGAGTAGCTAGACACACCTTTTTTAAAAATTTTCCTTTACATAATGAGACTGATGCTATAAATAATACTATCTTTTAACTTGTATTTTTCACTTTGTTATGGGCATTTGCCATGAGAATTTTTTTTTTTTTTTTTTTTGGCTAACATATAGTTTTTAAGTATTACCTAGTATTCTAGGTGTCTACTACAATTTATTTAAATGATCCCTTATCATTGAATATTTAGGTTAGTTCCTATTTTCACTACTGAAAGTTAGCCTTTAAAGACCTCTCTCACATATAAAGTCTTTTAGGTTTTCCTTCCCATTTTCTTCTTATCAAGTCCTATGATTGAAAATGCTGGGCATGGGATGCATGCTGTTCTCCACTCACTCATCTCTGCCTTGAGCCAGCTACTCATTGAAATGTTGCTTTTGTGATACATAATCCTGTCTGTATAGCCTATTCCCTCAGACGCTAAAGGGAGACAGGTCCAACTCCAGGTGATATCTTATTTGCACTGCTGATAGGGTTAGAAGTTCAAGAAAATGGCTGTGAGTAAGCAGCACTAATATACTCCCAACCTGGCCCTACTGACATTTTGAATCAGATAGTTCTTTGCTGCAGGACTGTCTGGCATGCTGTAGAGTCCTCTCCAGACCAAGTCCTAACAATCCAAAATGTCTCCAGACATTGCCAAATGTCTCAACACTGGGGACAACACTGATTCCTGCTGAGACCCACTGATACACAATACCAACCAGTATTTATTGAATACTGCGTACTCAAGGCACTCTCTCAAATTCATTGCATTTCTTATTTAATCCTTAAAATAATCCAATATGGTATTCTTACTTCTGCTTAACTGATGAGAAACTAATGCTGGGGGATGCTGACTACCTTCTTATGACTATCCTAAGGGTAAAGGCTGAGATTCAAAGTGAGACCAACCAACCTGAGCACTGCCCCTGACCCTACACCTGCTGCCAAGCATCTTCTATACATGAATGGAGGAGCGGTGGCTGTAAGATCCAAACCCAAAAAGTTCCCATGCTGAACCATGGATTTTGATAGTTTCTAGGAGATAAATAATATATGGCTCCCAGCTATATTACCATTCTATAATGCTCCATTCCCAAATATATAGGTGAAGGGGCCTAGATGTATCCCAGGATGAAATGGGGTCATGTTTACCAAAAACCTAACCCTTTGGGTGAAGTGAACTAGGAGGTCTCTATCATCCATAATTGGCCCATACTTAGTAGCCAAACATATGTACAAAATAAATAAAATGCATTAAATCTAACATTAAGAGACATACTTCTCAAATGTTCTACCCGTCTTTAAAAGTGACATCGGAATGTATTGGTTGAGTCCTTCCCCTTCGAATTTCAAATCCTGCATGAAAGAAAATAGACATAAATCACATTGATTCAAAACACACTTGAAACATCTACGTAAAAGTTGGCTTTTCGGATACCAGGCTATGTGGACCCTCAAAATTAAGCTTCCAAGAGGCAAATAAGAACATGGAAATCACCTTATTATAGTATCTGATTTTTCTTACTTATCTAGCTACTTTTCATCCAAAAAGGCAGAGGAAATAGTAAACAACGTAACAAAAGTAGGAGAAATACTTAGATCCCAGCACAGCTTTCTCTGTCTTTTTTTCTGTTTCTGTTTACTCTCTCTCACATTCACACACACGTTCCACAGTGGTATTGCTTTAGGTCATGTAAATGGACATATGGCTAGATGTGTAAGATGCTAGAGATATTAATAATAATTTTATTCATACAATTTATTATTCAACCCAAGTTATTTGGAGAAAAGGGGGAGAAATAATTTTGGGGGAAAGGTGGAGAAACAATTATGTATACTAGGATAATAGGCATAAACTTGGGCTATGCAAACTATAATGTATAAAACTCTATTAATAATAATAATAATAATCCTGTAGGGTTACATACAAGCAAATATCAACATATTCAGTGAAGTACAGAGAGAGATGGGGTGGGAATACAGAGAGAGAGAGAGAGAGCGCATGCCCTCAATATGGAAGCAGCAGTCTTTAATAACGTAATGTGAAAATGACACACCATGACTTCTGCTGTGTGCTTTGGTCACACAGATCAACGCTGGTTCAACATAGGAGGGAGCAATACAAAGGTGTGAATAACAGGAGACCGGGATGACAGGTTCATAGCAGTTATGAAATCCAGACAGGGAAATGTTGAAGGTTCTTTGATGAAGTCTCAAGGCCTGAGAATAATTCTCTGCAGCTCTCAGCTATACCTTCTGTACTCCTTGTTCCATCATCTGAATCATCTTTTTTTCATGAAAGGTAGCACATCTTTGAAGCTAAGTGGTGTTCTTCACCTGCATTCTGCCATATGACTTAAAGGTCCAAAGACCTCTTTTCATCTTGTTTTCTCTGTGTCCCTTTGAGTCCAAATAGTTGATTTTTCTGCTTATATAATTCTTTTTAAAACTTTATGGGTCTTTTATGAATCTTATTGGAGTCTACTATATTAGACAAAAGTCAAATTTATAAATCTTTTCAAAAAAAGACAAGTCTTGGGGTTCCCATCAACAGGATGAAGGGTGAGGCCCTTAAGATCCCTAGAAATCCTATTGCTTGATTGAGTGGAACTGTGAGGCATGCCCTTCATCTCTGTGGAGTCTCTTGTGTCCCAGTGAGCAGTATTCTGAGGCACCGCCTTTGATATTTGTGAGGTCTTAAAAGATTTGACTGTGATGCTCTCAGCTTCATCCATGAACCATATTTTCCCGGCATGTGATCTTTGCTCAGAAGCCATTTCTTCCTTTGAGCATTGTTTGCTATCTTGGGAGGCTGAGAATTCTTATAAACCATAAAGTCATGATTCATTTTGTCTAACAGTCCTTTCTTTTTTTTTTTTTTTTTTTTTTTTTTTTGAGACAGAGTTTCACTCTTGTTACCCAGACTGGAGTGCAATGGCGCGATCTCGGCTCACGGCAACCTCCACCTCTTTGGTTCAGGCAATTCTCCTGCCTCAGCCTCCTGAGTAGCTGGGATTGCAGGCACATGCCACCGTGCCCAGCTAATTTTTTGTATTTTTAGTAGAGACAGGGTTTCACCATGTTGATCAGGATGGTCTCGATCTCTTGACCTCGTGATTCACCTGCCTCGGCCTCCCAAAGCTTTCTTTAGTTTCACTCTCTCCTCTCACATTTTGTCATAGCATCAAGAAGAAACCAGGCAGCACTTGAGATTCTGTGGTCAGGGATCTCTTTAGCTAGATCACCCAGTTTACTAGGCATATTTTCTACTTTTCACATAACTGCAAACAGCAGTGTTGCTAAACACTCTGACACTCCATAAAAAAGATTTCCCCTCCTCCATTTCCAAATGAGACTTTTTTCACTTTCTTGAAAGCCCTCACCCCATTTCTTGAAGATGGTAAGGTCAGAGAAGACAGACATTTCAAATGAGACCTGAAGGAAAAGAAGGGTTTGGCCTTACAGAGATTAAAGAGCTTGGTTGTTCTAGGTAGTGAGAGCAGTGTGTGAAAAGGCCCTGAGATAAAACATAATTTTGCATATGTAAAAACCTGAAGGAAGATCAGTGTGACTTAGATACAACCACCAAGGGAGAATATTGGAAAATGGGGGTTGAAAACAGAAGCAGAATCCAGATCCTACGGACCCTGCAATGATGTTAATGAATGTGTTATGTGCAATTGGCAAGCCAGTAAAGGGTTTTAAGCAAAGGAATGATATTGTCTGATTTGTATATAAAGGGAAATTAAACTTTGAAAATATTAAAGTAATGTTTGTTTATTCCTCTATTCTAAAATCATGCTCCTCAGCAAAAGTTAACTATTATAGCTCTAGATAACTGGGGAGCAGAAATGCCTCTTCTGTTGTGGGGTGAACCACTCAACAGATGTAAAATTTTGCTAGTGGACTAGATGAGGAAAATAAGGGGAGATAAAGCACCAAAGATGGACATCAAGTTTCTAGCTCAAGACAATCAGTGGACTGGGGCACCATTTACTGAGATGGTGAAGATAGGGTAAGTAATGAACAGGGTCTTGAGAGGCAAAACTTAAGGATCTCAATTGGACATGTTAAACTTGAGGTACTCAAATGAAGTGGTACGTAGGAGTAAGATACATGGTTCTAAGAGAAAATATCTTTTATAGGAGAAAAGATAAGAAAGAACCTTTGGCTGTTACCAGCAAAAAGTTAGGTGTTGCAAATTAATGAAATCATCCTTCAAGACACCTCTAAGCATATTCGCATATATTATATTATTTATTTCTTTTTATCTGTTACATTATTAATCCCCACAAAAGCCCAATGCTTTAGTGTCATAATTATTTCATACATAAATAAACTAAGGCTAACAGACCTTAAGGCATTTGCCCAAGGTTACAGTACATGGTAGAAACTAAAGTTGACTCTCTGTGATTCAGCCCTTACTCAGTGTGACTGGTCTTTCATGATTCATTTATTGCTTTCCTAGAAGTTACATTCAAAGGGTAACAGGTGTTTTTTTTTTTCCGACTTGCTTGTCCCCATATATTTTCTATTACTAGCTCATAACAAGTCCCCTTGTGAAAACAATTAAAGGTTAGATCAGGCCAGGCATGGTGGCTCACGCCTATAATCCCAGCACTTTGGGAAGCCGAGGCGGGTGAATCATGAGGTCAAGAGATCGAGACCATCCTGGTCAACATGGTGAAACCCCATCTTTACTAAAAATACAAAAATTAGCTGGGCATGGTGGTGCGCACCTGTAGTACCAGCTACTCAGAAGGCTGAGGCAGGAGAACTGCTTGAACCCAGGAGGCGGAGGTTGCAGTGAGCCAAGATCGCACCATTGCACTTCAGCCTGGGTAAGAAGAGCGAAACCCCATCTTGAAAAAAAAAAAAAAAGGCTAGATCAGTGAATGTACATGGCCCTTTGGAAACAAAGAGAAAGCACTAGAGAGTAAAAGTTTATTAAATCTTATGACATTTCCCTTTGTACCAGCCATTTTCCAAAAAGGATCAAACCGAGCAAGCACAGTTTACAAAAAGAATGAACTCCTTCACCAAGCCAACTATTTTCAAATCTTCTCAAGTATTTGAGAAGCATCAATTCTTAGTGAAATAACTAAAATGCATCTCTTCATTAAAGAAGATTTTATCATGAACTTCATCATGTAATAATATTATTTCATGCAGCTTTAGTCATAGTTCTCCTTTTATATAAAAGTAATTCCTCTATTGTATAAAAATTTACTTTGAAATACTTTGTAGCCTGGACTTTCCACCAGATCCTATTAATCTAAATAAGTGACAGTTGACTACAAATGCAGAACACAAAAGAAGCAATTTGGCAAAAATTACCAGTAAGTATTGGTGATCAACCAGAAATTAAGAGAGTAATGTTACTTATTGATTTAACATCTAAACAAAATTCAAAAGACTTCTGGCTCTAACTGAAGAATTAAATATTGATTTTCCAAAATTATTTATCTAGATTTCTCTAGATCACTTTTTCTAACAGCAATATGAAGAAATGTCATGAGGCTTCTTTTTCGAAAAAGATAAGGCAATCCCTCCAAAGGTTGCTACGTTTCCCATAAATAGCTATAAATCCTATCTTTGGTTCCTTAACTCTCTTTTGGACAAGCAGCAAAAGTCATTAAAGAACATATTAAGTTATCTGAGTGGTTGCTATTTTTCATTTTGTCTACTATTGAATATTTCACTTGGATCTTAATATTCAAACTCATAATCTTCTTGCTTGTGGTAATGGCTAGTGTAGGGGAGAGGGGAAAAAAAATAAAGGATATAATTCTACCAAATATTCATTGACACCTCTAATGTTCCAGACATTAATCTAAGGACTTTATACGCACCAATCCACAGAATCCCCACGTTAACCTTTCAGGTAGATACCACTAAAATATCCATTTTGCAAGCGAGGAAACAGCAAGAGCAACAGGACATCAGGCCTAGAGAGTTGACCTGCAGAGCATCATACCTTATCACTATATTAATGAGTTCTGAGTTTCATATTCTGATTGTATTTTAGATAATTTGAACCAACTTTATTCAAAAACAATGGTTTGTGGGCAAACATACAGGATATCATTGCCATACTGCAATTGCTTATCTAGAAATAAAAATAACCTAACTCTATATGGAAAATTATCTCTTCATTGGAATTCCTATCAAATTTATTAAGCCTCAGTAAATATCAAAACAGTAATATTAAAATTGCCTTTGAATTCAATGTCAAGTCCTCAATTTTCTTGTTAAAACTAAAAACATGAATGAACCATGCTGCCAAGCAATATAAGCAACATATTCAGTAAAATATTGTATAACAATATATGAGATTCTGAATTTCTATGCAGAAA